TCTCGTTCAACCAAGAACGATATGCTGTTGCGCGATGGTAAGTGCTGATATATGATACCTTGGCGGCGAAGCTCGTGCATTCTCCTCTTTAGTGTTGTTGATGGAGATGTAGTGACGGCAAACGCACGGGTGTTGAAGGACTCATTTTTGCAGCAAGCAGACATTCGAACCAGAAGCACACCCATTTTGAGCCGGCGATGGAGTGTGTAATCCCGTTTAAGAGACCGATTAAACTGTTCTGCGGGGTTGTTGGTCGTAGCCAAGCCTCGCGGAGATCGGAAACACTGCCACTGCTCGAACTTGCCGGTAAGCCATTGCTTTGTGAAGTATGCCACAAATGTTTCAAGCTCTAGCAATTGACCCCACTGACTCAAAACTTTCTGCTTCGTTTCCAGGTAATCATACGCATCACGGGTGAAGTGCATATCCTGCAGCCCTTGTATTACCACGTGCCCGAGCTCCGTAGGAAGATGGCGCGTACGCTTGAACACCTTTGCGGCTACGTGAAAGTAGCACATTAGCGTTGACAAGGAGTTGTCTTCCCCAAAGACTGTCTGTACCGCATTCCACTGCGCATCGTCCGCGTCACCCATGACGTAGGAAACCCTCATTGGCTGTTCCACGACTTGCAAATATACGCGACGCAGTGCGAGCAACGCCTTAGTGTAGTGTTCTTCCTTCCGTTGCGATGAAATAAAAATCGCTAGTAGGTGAAATGATCGATTGCTGTCGGAGATACCAACGACAAACACAGGATACCAAGCTTGCGACAGCTTAAACGTCGCATCCATGTGCAGAATAAAGGAATCAGGATCACGGTTGACTTTCTGCAGTAGATTCTTCGTAGAGATACCTACAAGAAACGGATCTTTGTCTGTTCCACGGCCGACCCACGGCTTACCGTCCGGCGTCAGACGCCACGAAAACGTGAAGGGGGAATCAGCATGTTCCTTGCCAGTAAATCCGGCATCCCAAATGTCTTTCGTGGCTTCGTCGATGTAGTCGCTGTTCCGTAGGTGAGACCGAGTGTAGTAATTGACAAAGCGCTGAACAACTTGCAGCGAAGGAAGTGTCTCTTTGTCCAGCGCGAGGCGACCCATCATTCCGTTTCGAATTCGTGAAGGCTTAAGGGCTTGAGCTGCGAGATCCGTGGCGAATGCTTTCATTGCGCCGCTCATACGGGCGGGTTCGATGCCTCGACGAGGCGTCAGGTGCTCTCCACGTTCTGCAACAGTGATAAGATGCAATTCTTGGCACTCCTGGGTCTTGCCGTACCAACCACATGGTACTCCTACCGATACTTCCTTGCACGCCAGGTCACGGCAGCAGCGCTCACGCACGCGCATCTTGTGGGGCGCCGCCAGATTGCACACGTTACATGCTGTTAGCTGGCTCTTCGTTATTTTCGACGCTTTCATTGTCTCCACCAGCATATTGCCGTCGTCTGCAGGGTACGCTCGGGCGACTACCGTCCAGTCATGGCGCTTGGTAGGCTTGGAAGGCATGATGGTATTGCGTGCTCTAACGGTGAAGAAAGTTTTACTAGAGACTTTAGGCTTTTGAACCTTCTTACTATTGGCTATAATTTGTGAATCGGCATGTGCTGATTGGGTAGCTTTCGGATGGATACACGAGGGGGAATAACGGGTGGTGTAGGGAGGATTCGCTGTGCTGCCTTCCTATTGGTAGTGCTCACGCTGCAAACATCTGTGATAGTACGTATTGTGCAGTTCTTTTCTGCAATCTTGGTTACGATTATGCAGATAATAGTGTTTTTGACACGTTGTCGGGGAATGCTGGGCAACGAACGGATGCAGTGACTGTAATACTGTACATGTTCTGTTCACTGAACAGTGTTCAGTAGTATTATTTACAGTATACAATACCGTAAGTACTTCTGAAGCCGTTCACGATTACGATTATGTAATACATGGATACTACCTCGAACTTCGAGGTCTCTACCTAGTACTTCGAGTCGAAGTACTACGTTAAGTGGACAGGCAGAACAGGCTGTTGAAGTGACCCATGCAAACACGGTGCTGTACAGTAAGCACTGGGAGTGTCTGCTGTGGACTTGGAATAGCGCTGTTAGCAACCAAGACAGTGTTTGACACTTGTACAGTATCATGAGTTTCGCTCACAACGAATCACAACTATTTGTATTAAAATATACGGAGTGCGTAGGTACTATTAATACGTACATGCATGATGCCAGTCTGCATCTCTAAAACCGCCCGTAATCATTGCTAATTATTAATACCGGTACACCCGAAACATTTTATTAATACTTTCTCCTCGCGTGCTTAGCAAACACTGATAACAATTTATGCTTTACTCGACCGCCAATACTCATCGCTAACGGACAAGACAGCCTTTGCCGAATGCTGGCACTTCATCCGCTAAGACATTCGTTGGAATCCCTGTGATCGGAGGCTGGGCTGCGGGGATTTCAGTCACAGTTGTTTTCTGTTGAGGTTAGGGCCGGGACCGCCTCTCCATCGTGCTCTCTATAAACTAATAATGAAGAGACACGGTATTTTTGACTCTAATAAATAATGTACTAAAATGTCTGGAACATTTTAGTACGATGAATGGTAGCGGCAATTCTAGACTATGTTTCTGAATGCCGCATACTAATTTCTTGTTAGTAGCCCGCTACTTTCTTAAACATTAATCTTACTTCTTCATTTACCGAGTCCACCACAAGCTCTTCTTATTTTACCAAGTCCAACACAAGTGTCTTCTCCTTTTACCAAGTCCAGCACAAGTGTCTTCTCCTTTTACCAAGTCCGACACAAGCGTCTTCTCCTCCTACACTCAAGACTTCCTCTCCACTATGGCCGCCTAGACCACTCTACTTTTGTCCTCACTCCATTCCCCCTGTGCTGCCCTAACAACTCTGCGCA